TTCTGTCGGCCTTGTGGGCCCAGGCAGCAGCTGACCCTGACCTGTTATCCTCTGTTTACCCCCAGGAGACCTGCCAGTACCTCAAGAATTACCTGACACAGCTGTTGGTCCCCTATGTAGTCAATGTGTCTTGGGCTACCCAGTATTGCAGCCGGGACCAGTGCAATGGTCATGGGCGCTGTGTGCGCCGCAACCCCAGCGCCAATACCTTCTTGCACCTCAGCGCCAGCAGCTTCCGCCTAGTACCTGGCCGAGCACCTGGTGAACCCCAGCTGCGACCTGAGGGGGAGCTTAGCCGGGCGGACCTCAACTACCTGCAGACGCACTTTCGCTGCCAGTGCTACTTAGGCTGGGGTGGTGAGCAATGCCAGTGGGACCATAGGCGGACAACTGGAGGTGCCAGTGGGGCCTGGACTGGTTCCCATTTCACCAGTCTGCTGGCTTTAGTAGCTGTGGCCCTCACCTAGACCCTATAGGAATCTCCTACCTGGCTACCAAGCCAGCTGGCTTCTGCCACAAGGGCTTTCCTGGGCATGTGAGAGCCTATAGGGGGTAGACAAACTAGAGTCTGGAGGGGCAGAGCCCCCAAGATACCCAGCAGGGCATCCATACTAGCTGTCACACCCCTGTTCTAAGGGGGAGGGAAAGTCCCCTAAGAGGCCCCTTTCTACCTGTCAGAGGGGAAGGAGAATACAGCTGGGCTGGGGAGGGCCTGACCCTACTCCCCTGCCCCTGGATAGTTTATTATTATTTTGGGGTCTCTTTTGTAAATTAAATATGAAATAACTGTTTCTGTGCTTGTTATTTCTACTTCTGAGTTGGGGTTTGAGAGAGTCCAGGGTTGCCCACGAGGTTGAGCTTAGATCTCTGAAATCTTCTGGGAACTTCTCACCTGTAAAATGTGTTCACCAGGACTGACCTGGGATACCAGAGCTGCCCGCTCTGAAGCTGTCCTGCTGAGACAAGGGCCACTGAGAGTGGAGGAACCCACACTCCCAAGCTAGCACCAAAGACCTTGCTTTCTCCACATTGAATAAAATGGAATTGGATCTAACCTTGTGTGAGGGACAGAGCTTGATGTGCTTCTGCCACTTGCCCCTGCACCCCCAGCTAGGCCAGTACCAGCCTTGCCCATCAGGGAGAAGTAGATGTTTGATCTTCCCTGCTATTTTCAAAGGCAAGGGTATCTCCTCTGCTCACTGCTCCCAAGGGCACTGGACTTACACTATATCTACCTCTTCCCATCTGGGTCACAGCTTTTCCTTGAGTCTGGTAGGGAGGGAGGTGGGTAGGGAGGGTTAAGATGTCAATTCTGAGGTTCAGTCCCTGTCACACTATGAAGATACATGATGGGGCTATGGGTAGGCATCCTGAGCCTGGGACCAGGGAACATCATCAAAGATCAGCTCTGGCTGGATGTGGCACATGCCTAGAATCCCAGTGACCCTGGAGACTAAGGCAGGAGGATCACAAGTTCAAAGCCAACCCTCAACAACTTGGTGAGGCCCTGAGCAATTTAGAGAGACCCTGTCTCAAAATAAAATATAAAAAAGGACGGGGGATGTGGCTCAGTGATAGATTTGCCCTCAGTGATAGAATTACCACAAAACAAAGATTAGCTCTGGGGCTAGGGATGTAGCTCAGTGGCAGAATATTTGCCTAACATGCATGATGCTCTGGGTTTAATCCCCAGCACTGTAAAAACAACAACAAAAAGTTGTATCCTAGCCACAGGAGAATCCTAGCTGTCCCAGAGAAGTAGCAACCAGAATAGTCAGATCAGCTCTGAGCTGCTTCACTGCCCCTGTCTGTGTTAGGTGTGACACACAAGTCCTGCTCTCAGCAAACTGACTTACTGGCTCTCAAGCAACTGTAGTGCTAAGGTGTTTGAATACAAAGGCCCTGGTTTCAATCTCCAGTACCTGCCCCCCCCCCCAAAAAAAAAAAAGTTAAAAAAAGAATGAAAAGAAACTGAGTCGGAAAGAGCAGCACACAACAGGGGTTTAGGGGAGTTGTCCTCTCCAAGTACTTTCTACATTGATATGTGAAAGGGGAGGGAGCAGCTTAATACCAGGAAACAAAGCATGGACAGAGGCTTGAAGGAAGTTGGAACACAACTACAATACATAGTTCAGGACTGGGGTATGGCTTGGGGGTGTATTGAAGACAGAGATGAGAGGGGTAGCCCCAGAACTTACTTCTCCTGATGGCAATAAGTATCTCAATGTTGAGTAAGTAGTAAGTACACTAAGTACAATAATCTGGGCCAGTGCTTGCTGGGTACTAGGGATATGGCTGTGAAGGACATCAAGTAAGACCCCTGTGTTGAATGGGATGACAAAGTAGAAGGAAGTACACACTAAATGCCCAGACCAAGTCAGATGCCAGACGTGGAGAGTGCTCCAGCAAGTATCAGGCACACAAAAAAGATGGTGTGATTAGGGAAGTAGAGTCTGAGGAACAAGCCCAACCAAAACCATGTCAACACACATTGTAAAGAGATCCCTCCCTTCTTCCTCTGGCTGATGACAGCATGGGTCTGGGTGACAGCACTAGGAGGGTAATGTAAATTCACATGGTCAGGAAGGAAGACACGGAAGTAGAGGGGGTCCCAGATGCTAATGGCTATCGTGGGGAGAGGCCAGGTTGGAGGAAAGATTCAGTGATGGTCCATAAGGCTATGAAATGGAGTTCAGCAGAGGGAGGGCAAGGAAGGAGGAGATGTGACCACACATCTCCACATCTGTGACCCCTCCCACACAGCTGTGACTTTTTACCTAGCAATGGCCCTACCTGTCAGCCCCTATAGGCAAAGTTTCAATCCTCACAGCTATTACGTTCCCTAAACATCTGTGTCTGCACACCATGACCTTTCCTACACATTTGTGACTTGTACCCATCCATCTCCAACAAACCTATGTACACTTTATATCATTTTCCTAGGAGGACTTGGGGAAAGTAAAACCCAGGGATAGTCAGAACTTTCCTGTGGGGCAGAGGAGGAAGGGGTAGAGGTGAGATAATGAGAGTGAGGTGACTCAGAGATCTGAAGCATGCACAGCCAGAGAGCAGGATTATCCAGCCAGATGGACCCCAGACATACAAGCATACTCCCTACCTCCCTTCATGCATCAATCCAATTAGACCAGTTGGGCAGGAACAGACCTATGGGAAAGGCTTGGGGCAGGGGAGGGCTTCAGGCATCCTCAACTCTTCCTGTTATTCCACCATTAGGGTTTTTCCCTTGGACTGAGGCCAGCTAAACAATGCTAGCCTGCTGCTTTTCTGGACAAGGTTTCTGGGGGCATCAGGAGGTAGCCCAGAGCCTCCAGGAGAGAGGTCAGGGGCTGCCTTGATGTTCTCTTGTCTCCTTAGCTCTTGAGGGTTGTGCCAGTCTCTCTGGGCTACCCAGTTATCACTCTGTGACCCTTCTTCCTGAACAAGATCAGCAGCCACCACCTCTGTACACACATCCACAGTCCCCTATGCCCTGGGCCCTCCTTTCCCTCAGCCCAGCCAGCCTGGAAGACCAAGCTCAATTGGTAGCCCACTGTGAGTGTCATTTCTCCAAGGCCGCCAGGCTGAAGATTCTGTGGCTTAGGCTCAGCCACAGCTGCAGGCCCAGGCAGTACTTTCACCCCAGTGTTTTCCTTTACCCCACCCTGGCAGGCAAGCCTGACCAGGCCTGAACATCTAGCAAGTCTCAATAAACAGCTTCTGAATCAGAACAAGGGAAACCACAAATGAACAGGCAAGCATATGTTCACTGATGGATCCTTGCTTACCCAGGGTCACACAAACTTGAGGTTTCATGGTCACAAGACATCAAGGTCTCACACACATGCAGTGTGAGACATAAGGTACTTAGTCTTACACTTACCTGTATGTACAAACCCCTGGAATTTGTGCAGAGGCCCGGATGGTCACCAACTGAAGTTTCACAAAAACACAACCACTGACCGAGGACATATACAAAAGGTAATGACACAGCCCAGACTTCACGAATATAGTGGCTTTCAGAAACAGATCCCTACAACAAGGACGGCTTAGGCACAAGACATAGTAGACACAAACAGTGCCAAGGGCCACAATACCTTTAGTGACCCACAGAAATGTTTGTAGTTGGAAGAAAAACATATAAATACACTAATAATGAATACATAATAATGAAACTAGTCTGGACTAAATATCTTAAGTATTTTGTTTTAGTTGTAGTTGGACACAATATCTTTATTTTATTTTTATATGGTGCTGAGGATCACCCAGCGCCCCGCACGTGCTAGGCAAGTACTCTACCGCTGGACACAACCTCAGCCCTAAATTTATCTTTATGCCTACACAGTTGTAAGATGAATTTTAAAATTTTGTTCTAGTTAAGCTCAGTGGCATATATATGCCTGTAGTCCCAGTTACTTGGGAGTCTGAGGCAGAAAGATCAGTTTATTCCAGGAGTTTGAGACGGGTCTGGACAACATAGCCAGTCACTGTCTCAAAATCACAGTAGTAATAACAATAATAATAATATTGTTTTAAGGGGCTAGGGATGTGTGAGGTCCTGGGTTGAATCCCCAGGACAGGAAAAACAAATGTTTTAAGGAGGAAGACAGCCACAAAGCTAACAGTGCCTAGGGGCCTACCAATGTCATTATGCAGTGGCTTGGAGAAAGTACACTCTCTGAGTCTATAATCCTCAGGCATCCAGACTCTGGGCCACAGACAGGCCTGCCCAGCTGCCTCTGCCACCACCTATCCCTTCCAGACCCAATAAAGTCACAAGGCCCCGCCCACTGCTCTCAGGGTGGGAGGGACCACTGCTGACTCAGCCTCAGCACCACCCCCTTAAAGGACCACCCCCATCAAGGCCCACCCCTGGACCTACAAAAGCTCAGAATTTTCCGCAGCTACTTTTTCCTCCCGGAGTTTCTGGTGCAGCTGGGTCTAGAGTGTGGGACAGCCAGGCTTTTCCTAGGCCACCACCTCAGGATCAGGAAGTTTCTAGGATGACACCCTTCAACCCTGAGGTTAGTAGGGAAAGGCGGGCAGACTGATGGGTGTATAGGAGGGATGGGCTGACCTGTTCTTGGTCTCTGAGCATCCCTGCTTCCAGTGGCTGCCAGAATTTCTGATGGAAGAAACAAGAAAGGGCTTCCATCATCAGTCTGGTCAGTCCGGGCCTGAGGACCCAGTTTTTAGCTCCTCCTCCCTGAATGGATGTCATGGTTTCCTTGGCCCTTGGGGAACATGGGTGGGCAAGATTAGGCCAGGGCAAGAATTATGGGAGGAGATGGCAGAGGCCTGGTCCCAGAGATGACGCTGATGTGCCCTCCACTGGCAGTGGTCCCCTCCATGCCTTTCCTCTGCCCTTTGCCCTCCCTGAGTCCTGCAGGTCAATGTTTAATTAAATCCAGAGCAGAGGTGGAGTTATCAGCAAGGGGTTCATCCCACCTGTCCTGAGCAGGGGTGAGAGAGTTTGAAGCCTGCCTTCAGCTCTGCCTCCCCTGGCCAGGTTTCCTCAGACCCACCTACTGCCACTGCAGCCCACCTGCTTCACATCTGTACCCTCTTGCTGACTTTGGTCTACGTGGCTCAAGGCTCCAGGGGTCCTGTGGTACCCAACCGGCCCTTCATCACAGTTTGGAATGCAAACACCCAGTGGTGCCTGGAGACGCATGGAATAGATGTGGATGTCAGTGTCTTTGATGTGATAGCCAACCGGGGGCAGACCTTCCGCGGCCCTAACATGACCATTTTCTACAGCACGCAACTGGGGACCTACCCCTACTACACAACTACTGGGGAGCCTATATTTGGTGGCTTGCCCCAGAATGCCAGCCTGCATGCCCACCTGGCCCGCACATTTCAGGATATCCAGGATGCCATGCCTGAATCTGACTTCTCAGGGCTGGCAGTGATTGACTGGGAGGCATGGCGCCCACGCTGGGCCTTCAACTGGGATACCAAGGACATTTACCGGCAGCGTTCTCGGGCACTGGTAAGGGCACAGCATCCTGACTGGCCAGAAACTTGGGTGGAGGCAGAAGCCCAGGCCCAGTTCCAGGAAGCTGCACGGGCCTGGATGGCAGGCACCCTCCAGTTGGGACAGGCACTGCGTCCCCGTGGTCTCTGGGGCTTCTATGGCTTCCCTGACTGCTACAACTATGACTTTCTAAGGTCCAACTACACAGGCGAATGCCCACCAGGCATCTGTGCCCAGAACGATCAGCTAGGGTGGCTGTGGAACCAGAGCCGTGCCCTCTATCCCAGTATCTATCTGCCTGCAGTGTTGGCGGGCACAGGGAAAGCACAGATGTATGTACGTCATCGTGTGAGTGAGGCATTTCGTGTGATTATGGCTGCCAGGGACCCCAGTCTGCCGGTGCTGCCCTACACCCAGATCTTCTATGACATGACAAACCGACTTCTGTCCCTGGTAAGTCTACTGTGGCCTACCCACCTTGTAAGCCCAACAACTGAGGCCACACAGCCTTGGGACACTTTCATCTATTCTCACATTTGAGTTCAACTTTGTGCCAAGTTCTGTGCTAAGTACAGGTGATTCAGCATTTATTAGAAAGGTTTAGACCCTGTCTTCATGGCATTTGTAGGTTACAGGGAGGACAGGCTTACAGCTTACATCTGGCTACCAGGGCTACAGAAGCCTTGGATGGGGTTATAAATTATTTGTCCCATCCAGCGGTGTCACAGCAGTCTGCTGCAAGGAGGGAGGGCGGCCCCACAAAGCTGTGCTTGCTCCTTCCCAGGAGGAGTTGGAGCATACCCTGGGAGAGAGTGCAGCCCAGGGGGCAGCAGGAGTGGTCCTCTGGGTGAGCTGGGAAAACACAAGCACCAAGGTAAGCTCAGGTCTGAGGACTGGCTGGTGGGTGGCTCACACTAACTTGGGAGACCCTGGCCTACCCTTTTTACTTCTGAAGTCCTGGCTGGCCAGCACATGAGTACCTTGATGTCCTAGGTGGGCCTGTGCATGGCTCTACTGTCCCTGATGCTCTCCCTCCCACCCAGGAATCATGTCAGGCCATCAAGGAATATATGGATACTACCCTGGGGCCCTTCATCCTGAACGTGACCAGTGGAGCTCTTCTTTGCAGTCAAGCCCTGTGCTCTGGCCATGGCCGTTGTGCCCGTCGCTCCAACCACCCTGAAGCTCTCCTTATCCTCAACCCTGACAGTTTCTCCATCCAGCTTATGCCTGGTGGCAGGTCCTTGACCCTGAAGGGTGCCCTCTCACTTGAGGATCAGGCACAAATGGCTATGGAGTTCAAATGTCACTGCTATCATGGCTGGCGGGGAGAGTGGTGTGAGCAGCAGGGCATGTGATGACTGGTCACATCCAGTTGCACACATTGAGCACCTAATGCACTCTGCAAGTGGTCATGGCTTCCTCAAATACAGGCACAATCACAGGAGTCATGGTTATAGTCAGGAGTACACTGAGTCACCGTCATAGGCATATGGCCTGCTCATGCACACTCAAAGCCAGATAGTCACATAAAGAGTTAGAAACCAGGGGCAGACATCATCCACTCCGTGTCCACATGTGTCTACTTAGAAAGGTAACAGCTCCAGAGACACTAATCCAAGTCTTTAAATTCATCCAGTGCCTGCTTTGTGCCAAGCCATGTGCTAAGCATGTTAAGGAGGTTAACTCATTCTCTAAAATGAGGCTATGAGAAAGTGAGGCACCCACAGGATGCCTTTTTGCCCAAGGTTGCACAGCAAGAAAAGAGAGATGCTGAGCCAGGCACACCTGTAATCCCAGCAATTTGGGAAACTGAAGAAGGAGAATCACAAGTTTGAGACCAGCCTCAGAAACTTAGGGAGGCCCTATCTTAAACATAAAAGAATAAAATTTTTAAAAGGGACTGGGCATGTAGCTCAGTGCTTAAGCGCCCCTGGGTTCAATCCACAGTACCAAAAAAAAAAAAGAGAGAAGCTGAGATTCAAACCCAGGCTGTCTCCAGGGATAGAGCCCTTGTGCACCTACTGTGGTGCTGAAGGTAACTAGCCTTAAAAGACTGAGTCCGCTGAGGCACCGCACAACCCAGCAAATAAAGCAGTCATGGTTTACTTAGCGATTTATTGAGTGCCTAAAATGGGCAGGCCCCTCAGCACCAGAGGGCAGGAAAGGTTCCTCTCTTTCCTTTAAGTCTAAAGTCTGCTTGAGGGCGGCTGCTTCCCAGTGTGGGTCCAAATTCCCGGAAGCTCCACCTGATCTAAACATGTTGGATAGGCTCTGGAGGACGACCCAACCTAGTCAAAACGCGACAGGATCTGGGGCGGGGACGGGGCGGAATCCTCTGGAGGAAGGGCCTGCGTCCGGCTAAAGCAGTAACGTACGGGCTTCGGGGCTGGGCCTCCACGGAGCCGAACTGGGGCAGCGATGCAGAGGACCAGAGGCGGGACCTTCACGAGGCGGGTCTGGGAGGAAGCCTTGCCAACAGATCCAGCTTAGCTCAGCAGGGGCGGCAGCAATAGCAGAGGCGGCGCTGGCTCAGTGTTGTGACGCGCAGAACCAGGGGCGGGGCCTAGGCGGGGAAGTTCCCTTGCCGGCTGAGGGCCTGACCACCTCGGGAGATTTAGGACTAGGAAGTGTGCGGCGGATTTCGATGGCTGCAGTACGTCCGCCGCACCGCTGGGGGCCAGCGCGGACCGACCCAAGAGTCTGAGCGAGAGACAGTGGGATACCGAGCCGTGCGGAGCGAGGACGCGGGACATCCCCGAGCCCGGAATCAACATGTCAGTACCGCCCCCACCCCACTACTGCCTGTCGGTGCGTCCCGCGCGTACGGTCCCCAACTAGCCGTGTCTTCCCGCATGCCCTCCCTGCGTCGGTGGTTCTTTCCTAGAACATACCGAGCCATACCTACCCAGAGAGTTAAATTTTCGAAGCCCCACCCCCAAAACTCCACCGTCTAGGATCTACAGAAGTGGGAAAGGGAGTTAGGTATTAGCCGAGGCAGAGGAGACAGTGGGGTGGCTTTTTAAAGACCCAGAAACTAGCCCCGCCCACAGTGGGTGGGGTTGGCACTGAAGGGGTTAAGCCCGCCTGGCATCCTGGAACTGCAGGCGGATCCTGGGCTTACTCCCTCCAGACCAAGGGTGCTGCTGCTGCTACTGCTGTTGCTGCCACTGAGGTGGCTGATGCAGGTGAGAGGCTTAGATCCCTGTGAATGGGATGTGATGTGAGGGGAGGGAGATGCCTGTTATTGACTAGTGTTGTTGGATTGTCCTCAAGCTCAGGGAAGATGGGGAAGTAGGGTCAGGAGGCACTGTCTGGAGCAGGAGTAGAGGTGTGGGGCCCAGCTGCTCACCCAGTGTAAGAAATCCTCTAGTATAGACCCCCTTGCCAGCAAGACCTGGAATAAGGTGGGCAAACAATGGTGTTTGAGAATAGGAGATCTGGGCCCCCAACCAGGTAGCCGTTGGGCGCCTCAGTGGATAAAGGAAGGAAACTGTGGTCCTTATCTAGGGTGGCTACGAAACTCAGGCCAGAGGGAACCAGGCCTGCAGAAGCAACATTATATGTGATTGTGGGCTAGGCCCTGGGCTGGTGCTGCTGGGGCCCCATCTGTGGGGACATTTGAGTCCTTGCCCAAAGTCTCCTGAGCTGGGCAGAGTTGGAGAAGGGGCCATGGGCTTTGGGCCCCAGGCAAGAAAGGCAGTAGAGAGAAGGGAAGGTGAGCTGATGGGTGAGTGCATGGGGCCTAAGGGTCACCCGGCAATTGAAAAGGCTGGGAGCTGAAGGAAAGCTGATATGTAAGGAGATGGAAGGGACAGGGGAACTCCTGGGGGCAGCGTTTCCTCCATGGAGAACCTCAGGTGGGTGTGAACAGGAGGCATGATGTCTGGTTTGCACCTTATGTGTGCAAGGTTGGCCAGCCATATTGGACTTCTAGAGATAAAACGGCCAGCAAGTATTAGCTGGGTTGACTGTCCACACACAGTGAGGTTCTAGGGAGGACAAATTTATAACCACAGTGGGTAGAGACCAGGACCCGTGGGTTCTGCCCCAGTCTTCAGCATTCACCATTACTCTCAGCCTTCCTCCAGTATGTGGCAGGGCACATGGGTCCATACACCCTGCCCCCCTCCACCTGAGGTATAAAGGATGGGTCTCTTCCAGGCCACCTGTATCATCAGGTGAGTTTGGAACAAGGTGCAGCCCATCATGCCCCAGTCCTAGGATGCATGTGCCCCTTTGCACTCATCAGTCCTTCCCTGCCCCAACCTTGTCTTCCTGCCACAGCCCAGCATGGCTGTTATTGATAGGAGGAGAGCCCCTGTAGTCTGAGGAGATGCCACTGCTTGAAGACTGGCCTTAATCTCCAGCCTGGCACTGAGCCACCTGCAGCCTAACAGGAGTTAACCTTGGCTCCCAGCCTGACTCAGCTGAGCCTGGATCCTACGAGTAGGCAAGAGCTCACTCTGAGTCCCTGGCCCAGCTACTCTGACCTCTACCCTAGACCCTCTGCACTGGATGGAGCTGATCCTGAGTAACAGCCCAGCTAAACTGACTCTGGGTCCTGCTTGCCAACCAGAGTTGACCCTGAGATTCAACCTGACCAAGCTAACCCTGGATCCCACACACCAGCCAGAGGTGACCCTGAGCCCCAGGCTAGCTGAGCTGACCCTGGATTCCACATGCCATCCAGAGATGTCCCTCCGTCCTGACCCAGCTGAGCTAACCCTGGATCCCAGACACCAGCCAGAGGAGACCCCACTCCCCAGCCTGGCTGAGTTGACACTGGAGCCTGTGCATTGTCGACCTGAGCTCCTGGATGCTTGTGCTGACCTCATCAATGACCAGTGGCCCCGCAGCCGTGCTTCTCGCCTACACTCCTTGGGCCAGTCCTCAGATGCCTTCCCTCTCTGCCTGATGCTGCTGAGTCCTGGTCTTACCCCTGAAGCAGCTCCCATTGTGGTGGGTCATGCCCGTCTGTCACGAGTGCTGGATCTGCCCCAGAGCCTCTTAGTGGAAACAGTGGTTGTGGCCCGAGCCTTTAGGGGCCGTGGCTTTGGCCGCCGTCTCATGGAGGGCCTGGAAGTCTTTGCTCGGACCCGGGGCTTCCGTCGGCTGCACCTTACCACTCATGATCAGCTATACTTCTATGCCCACCTGGGCTACCAGTTGGGTGAGCCTGTTCAAGGCCTTGTCTTCACCAGCCAACGGCTGCCCTCCACCCTGCTCCGTGCCTTCCCAAGGGCCCCCTCTTCCCGGCCATCCTGCAAAGTCCCAAGCCTGACTGCCCAAGCAGCCCCAAGGGGACCTAAGGGGCCTCCACTGCCACCACCCCCTCCCCTGCCCCAGCCCACCTCACCCTCATCTCCAGAAGGGCCCCTTCCACAAAGCCTGCTGGAGACACAATACCAAGACCTCAGGGGATGCCCCATATTCTGGATGGAAAAAAATATCTGAGGGCCCCTTGGGACAAAGCACTGCCCTTCTGAGTCCCTGAACTTCCCAGAACAATACCAGCCTCAGCCCACTGACCATATTTCATCCCTTAACCCCTGGGGGCAGCTTTAGCCTGGGTATGTTTCCTGGGTATCAGAGGGGGGCTAAATGGGGTAGCTCCAGTAGCTCTGGCTTAGAGTCATCAGTGTAGCTGAATAAAGGCTTCTGTTGAGTGTAGGTGTGACAGTTTTTTGTTGATCTCCACCCTCACTTTTCAGGTTTCCTATTCCTGAAGAAGTCCTGGGATCCAGATTGGCTCTGGGGCCATTGATGGGGTGACACCTGTCCTTTGCCCCTCCTAACTTGCCAGTCACAGGAGACAGAATGGCTCTTCCTTTCCCCATTCATTCCCTCATTACCTTTCGCTGAGCCCTACTGTGCCTGGCCCTGGACTGGGCATAGGTAATGGGGAATTATACAAGGTCCCATTCAAGGGGACAGATGGGCATACCATGTCAGGATCCATTGTGGGATAAGGAAGTTCAGAGGCTTTGGGAGGACAAGGGCCCTCACTTCTTCTAGGGGTCCAGAATACCCAGAGGTGATGATACTGAGTAGGAATTAAGTGAGGCAGACAAGGTGGTGAGAGCTGAGTGTTCTTGGAGCAGGGAACAAGATGGGAAGATGAAAGAAGGGGACTTGTGATAGCTGTGGGGTGAGGAGGTCTTGAAGGACACAGTGGTACCTTGACAGAGACAGAGAACACCAGAGGAGAACTACCCAGACCAGTTTGGGGTATGGCTGCTCTGAAAGGCTTATGGGATCCCTTGGAAACCACCTTTTCCCCATCCCCCGTCCTTGTGGAGAGCTTTCCCTGCTCTTCCTGCTATGCAGAAGGCATGGCTGTGGACTCCAAGCTCATATCCCTTTTTTTCTACAGGTTTCCATCTCTGTGTTACGACCATGCAGCTAGGCCCAGTCCTGATGATGGGGGTGGCCCTGTGCCTGGGGTATGGCCAGCCTTTGCCACAGGCTCCTGATCACCCCTTCTATGTGATATGGAACGTACCCTCAGCACGCTGTAAGGCCCACTTTGGTGTGCACTTACCACTGAAAGCCTTGGGCATCATAGCCAACCATGGACAGCTTTTCCATGGCCAGAACATCTCCATCTTCTACAAGAACCAGCTTGGCCTCTATCCCTACTTTGGGCCCAGAGGCACAACTCACAATGGGGGTATCCCCCAGGCTGTGTCCCTAGGCCGCCACCTGGCACAGGCTACTCACCAGATCCGTCATAGTCTAGGACCCAGCTTTGCTGGCCTAGCAGTGCTGGACTGGGAGGAGTGGTATCCTCTCTGGTCTGGGAACTGGGGCCGCCGTCACACCTACCAGGCAGCCTCCCAGGCTTGGGCACAGCAGGTATTCCCTGACTTGCACCCTCAAGAGCAGCTCCACAAAGCCCGTGCTGGCTTTGAACAGGCAGCCCGCGCACTGATGGAGAACACACTGCAGCTGGGCCAGACACTGCGACCCCATGGACTCTGGGGCTTCTATCGTTACCCAGCCTGTGGCAATGCCTGGCATGGTACAGCTTCCAACTACACAGGCCACTGCCATGCAGCCACCCTTGCCCGCAACACCCAATTGCATTGGCTCTGGGCTGCCTCCAGTGCTCTCTTCCCCAGCATCTATCTCCCACCCAGGCTACCGCCTGCTCACCACCAGGCCTTTGTTCGACACCGCCTGGAGGAGGCCTTTCGTGTGGCCCGTGCTGGGCACACACATCCTCTGCCTGTCCTGGCATATGCCCGCCTCACACTCCGGAAGTCTGGGAGGTTCCTGTCCCAGGTAAGTAGAAGGTGAAATTTAGGGGTCTGCATTGAGCACTATGGTCCTGTCCTATAGAAGTCTTAAGGAGAAGACCTTGATTTAAAAGGAAGGTCCTAGTCTAGGGGTTCTTAGAGGAAAGCCCTATCCTGGAGCATCTGAAAAAGGAGCCATGGCTCTGTGTCAGAAGGTCTGAAAGTATAAGGCAGGGCATAACCTTTGGAACCCTGGTTCAAGGAGGGTCATTCTGAGTGGAGGGCATGTGAAACCCTCTCAAAGACCCAATGCAAAGGCACCCAACTCTAGAGTTGAATCAGTTGTGACAGTGAAAGTTTCTTGATCGTGAAGGTGGGCCCAGATGGGTCCAGCCAGTTCAGCCTGGCTTAGCAGCTCTTTGCCTCCAGAATGACCTGGTTCAGACCATTGGTGTGAGCGCAGCACTGGGGGCAGCCGGCGTGGTGCTCTGGGGGGACCTGAGCTTCTCCAGTTCTAAGGTGATCATTATCCCCTTCCGCCTGTACATGCTGGGGCCCAGGGTGGGGGAGAGGCCTTGTCAAGGATATGGAGCAAGAGCACCGACACATCCTTTCCTTCCGCCTCAGGAGAAGTGCTGGAGTCTCCATGACTACCTGGTGAGCACCCTAGGCCCCTATGTGATCAATGTGACCAGAGCAGCCACAGCCTGCAGTCTCCAGCAGTGCCATGGCCATGGGCGCTGTGCCTGGCAAAACCCAGGAAAAATGGAAGCCTTTCTGCACCTGCAGCCAGATGGCAGCCTTGGAGCTTGGGAGTCTTTCAGCTGTCGCTGTTACTGGGGCTGGACTGGCCCTACCTGCCAGGAGCCGAGGCCTGGGCCTAAGAAAGCAGTATAAAGCCAGGAGTCCCTGTTCCTACCTATTCTTGTCCCTGCTGCCACTTTCCTAGTCCTGGAGGAACCCCCCCTTTTGCTCTATTCAGCTTACAATCAATACATTCCCAAGCACACACTTTCGCTCCCACTTCCCTTGGGATCTCTGAGGGGTGGAAAGGGCCAGAAAAAACGCTTATAAAACCAAAGTCCTCTGAGATCATCTGACTCCTCATGACACAAAGCAGCCTCTGGCAAAGTCAGGGCTCCAGCTGGTTAAGGGTTGCCAGCCCAGGGCTTTGTTCCTATACCTTAGTGGGTCCACAGAGAAGTCACAGGAGGGCCATCCACGGGCAGATGTTCCCAAGAAATTTGGGATATGGTCTCTAAATGCTAAGCTGTTATCTGCACTACGTTTTCATCATAAAGTCACTTTTTCTTTCATTGTCTGAAAGGGTCTGTTCTCCCTATAGGGTCCCAGAATTTAGCCTGAGCCTTTGAGCAAGTGAACCGCTGCAAGGGCCCTAAAATGTCGGTCTTGCCATGGTGCTTCATCCGTGGAAGGAAAGATCAGAGTTAAGGACTGTGCCATCGTGCACAGCGCGGGGCTGGACGGCGGGCAGGGAATTGTGGGTGCAGAGTTCAGATAGGGCGGGCACGGCTTGTGGATCCAGGAGTTAACTGCGACTACCGTGGTGCTCTGCTTCTAGACAGCAGGCCCTAACCTGTGCGCGCAGCCCCCTGGGAATAGTAGTTCCGGGGCCGTGGATGTGGGTCTGAACCAGGTGGCCGGGAACTCGCCTTCCCAGCTACCCGTTTGGCAGGGCGGGGCGCCTCGCGAAGATGGTGGCGCGCGCGGCGTGTGGCTCCCGTCGTCTGTCCAAGTCTCAGCACAGCGCACCGGCCAGCATCTCGCTGGTTTGGAGCGCCCGCCCGCCTGGTCCCTGACCCCGCGCCCCCCATACCCAGTTCCCAGCATGCCCCGCGCCCGTAAGGGCAACGCGCCCCGCAAGGGCGGCCAGCGCCGTGGAGGTGAGTGGGGGGCTCCAGGCAGCTGTTCCAGCAGCGAGCAGAGGCCCCGCGTGGGTCCCCGTCGTGTCCCCGAGGGTCCTGGGGCTGGGAACACCTCTTAATTAGCCTAGCCTCCCTGAACTGTGCCGAGGCCCGCACGTGTCCCAGCAGGCATCGGCCACGTGTGCGCCCAACTTGAGCGCGCTGCCAGCCGCCTGTCGGGATCCCGCGTTCCCAGTGGTGACTCAGCCAGTACCTTTGGACGTTGATTTTCCCACTGCCCCTCCACCCCATTTGCCTGCTGTGGTGGATAAACCTACTGGACAGAGAGCGAAGCTAGCCTCCTTGCCAAGTGGTCCCTTGTCCTTTGGTGGTCTGGACAGGGAAGCTGGCAGACGCCTAACTTGCTCCCAAAACTGAAAGAGGTGAGGTGCGAGTGGGAAACTACAGAATCCGGGTGATTCCTGTCAGGGGACTGGATGAATACCCTAGAGCCTGAGGCAGTCTTAGTTATTGCTTATCAACCAAGAACCTGTCCTGTTGAAGTAAACACATATGTTTGTTCTGATGCGATAGAGTGACCACCGCCTAATGGGGCTTGGGTGTGGAACACTAAATAGGATAGTGACAGTTCAAAGGGACTGGTGCTGAAACTTTTTCACTGAGTGGTGTCAGCCCCAGACTGAGGAACTTAGGAAATCACATGCAAAGAGATCCTCTGGGTGAATTCTGAGAAGATGAGAAGAGATAACCATGGAAAGAGAGCAGATTGTACAGAGATTTGGCAGCTGTGGGGATCATAACACAGTGGAGCAAATGAGGGAAGGCTGGGCTGCTTTTGCAGCTAGGTAGAGAAGAAGTGAGCAGGGGCAGTGTGCCTGCTGGACTTTTTCCTACAGGCAAGGAGTATAAGTAGTTTCTGAGATGTAGGGCCAGCCTTGTTGTCAGAACCTGTCCAGGGCTTTGCCACAGTAGCCACCCTTACCAAAGTAGCACGTAGCCTTGGACAGAACATATATCAGGAAGGCTCTCGCTAGAGATTTCCCTGTGTTCTCCTTTTTTAGGGGCCAGTTTCTTCTCTACCAGGGTCAGGAGGACTGTGTTTATCTAAAATCCACCATAGCTGAAGGTCCTGGATGGACCAAAGGAAGCTCAGAAGACAATATACTTGAAGCATGGGATACCCAGCACATTCAGTAGAAGCTGGGCTTTTGCCCTCAGAACTCATAGGTGGCTTGATGAATTTGTTGGCCTGCAGCAGAACCATAACAAACCACTTGTCTTCAGCTGCTCCACCTTAAATGCATTTGCTTCTCTGTTTTGCAGATAGAGAAATGGAGGCTTCAAAGCCAGGGCAACTGACCCATTACAACTCTGTTAAGATATAGAGCTGGAGGTGCTGGGGTTTGTGGCTTAGCAGTAGACTGCCGCCTAGTATGTTCAAATCCCTGGGTTCGATCCTCGGCACCACATAAAAATAAATAAAATAAAGGTATTGAGTCCAACTACAACTAAAAAATAAATACTAAAAAGAAAAGATGTAGAGCTGGGGGCTTGGGTTGTGGCTCAGTGGTAGAGCACTTGCCTGGCAAGTGTAATGTACTGGGTTTGATTCTCAACACCTCATAACGATAAATAAACAAAATGAATGTGTTAAAAAACAGAGAAAAGGTTGGCTGGGACTGTGGCTCAGTGGTAAAGTGCTTGCCTAGCATGCATGAGGCAGTGGGTTCAATTCTTAGCACCACATACAAATAAAGGCCCATTAACAACTAAAAATATTTTTTTAAAAAGTAGAGCTGGGGACCAAGGGTGTAGTCCAGTGATAGGACACTTGCCTAGCAAGTCCAAGGCCCTGGGTTTGCTCCCTAGCTTGGGGGGGAAAAAAGAAGTGAGCTGGAGTTTGAACCCCAGGTCTGCCTAACTATAATCTAAGACCCTGACCTTTGTATTGCCCACTTTAGGGCATAATCCAAGCTGGGCCACAGGCCTAGTTGGACCCATACAGCCCCTCCCTTCTACCTCTAGTTTGGCTTCCAGTCTCTTCCTTAAAACAGGCTTTGAGGGCTGGGGATGTGGCTCAAGTGGTAGCGCGCTCGCCTGGCATGCGTGTGGCCTGGGTTTGATCCTTAGCACCACGTACAAATAAACATTGTGTCCGCCGAAAACTAAAATATTAATATTAAAAAATTCTCTCTCTCTCTCTCTCTCTAAAAAAAAAAAAAAAAAAACAGGCTTTGATCTCAGGGAGGCTCTTTCCACCAAGTCTGCCACATTATCCCTAGCTAAGCCTTATTCTTGACACTTTTCAAAAGATTGATCTCCTTCCCTTTTTCTTGCTTCTTGGCTCAAGTCTGCTGTTTCAGTTCGTGTACTGCCCAACTCAGTTTTGGCCCCCTCATCTTTGAGGGCGGGCAGCATTCTGTCTTGTTTAGTTATGAGGTTGAGTGAGATATGCCCAACCCTCATTAATGGAAGCAAGCCACTTTTTTTGTTTGTTTGTTTGAGACAGAGTCTTGCTGTTTGCCAAGGCTGCCCTCAAACTTGCAATTCTCCTGCCTCAGCCTCCTGAGTAGTTGGGATTACAGGTGTACACCACTGAACCCCACAAACATATCCTGTTTTTACTCTCATCAGGTGCCCGGAGCAGTGCCCAAGCTGACTCAGGTTCCAGTGAGGATGAGGCAGCCAGTGAGGCCCGCAGCACCACCAGTGACTGTCCCAGCCTTCTCAGCACCACAGCAGAGGACAGTCTGGGTGAGAGCAGGTGGCAGTTTGGTCGGGGCTTGGCTCAGGCTCCACTGGGTGAGGGCAAGAAGTGGTGCTGACCCACTGGCCTTGCAGGGGGGGATGCCGTGGATGAGCAGGGCCAACAGGAAGACCTTGAGGAAAAGCTGAAGGAATATGTGGACTGCCTCACAGACAAGAGGTATTCCTGGCTGCCAGCCAACTCCTACAGTGGGGCCCTGCTCAGCCCATGCCAAATATGACAAAGGAGGCTGGCCCCCATGACCCCCCTTCTCTATTTCCCCAGTGCCAAGACCCGGCAAGGAGCTCTAGAGAGCCTGCGCCTGGCCCTGGCCTCCCGCCTACTTCCTGACTTCTTGCTAGAGCGCAGCCTTACACTGACCGATGCCCTGGAAAAGTGCCTCAAGAAAGGTTAGGCCCTTAGGATGCACGGGGAACCTTAACTAGGCAGGAGGTGATCCTTGCTGCCTTGGGCTAACTGAAAGGATCCCACAGGGAAGGGTGAGGAACAGGCCCTGGCTGCTGCTGTCCTAGGCCTGCTGTGTGTGCAGCTGGGCCCTGGACCCAAGGGTGAGGAGCTGTTCCACAGCCTGCAGCCCCTGCTGATCTCTGTGCTTAGTGACAGCACAGCTAGCCCTGCTGCCCGGCTCCACGTGAGTATTCCCAAGCGCCAAAGAACCTTTCCTTCACCTTATCCCTAAGTAGAGTGATAGATTTCACCTGTTCAGGCTCCCCTACTCTAAGGGAGTTGAGCCCCACGGCTGGGAAGCTGGGTTCACTCCCTAACCAGGTCTGGCTCTGTCCTCCTTCCAACAGTGTGCTTCTGCTCTCGGCTTGGGTTGCTATGTGGCTGCTGCTGATGTCCAGGTAAGTGGCCTTTGGACACAAGTGGTACCACCTAAACCCATAGGTCTGTCCCTGAGTCCATCCCCTGCCTCCCTGTGCTCCTAGGACCTGGTCTCTTGCCTTGCCTGCTTGGAAGGTGTTTTCAGCCGGTCCTGTGGCACAGGTGGTTCCACAACTCCTGTGGTCCCTGCCAGTCTTCATGGGCTGCTTTGTGCTGCCCTGCAGGCCTGGGCATTGCTGCTCACCATCTGCCCCAGCACCCATATTAGCCACATCCTCAACAGGTAGGGGCAGCTGTCCACTGGGAGTGGGAGGAGATCATGATGGGGCCCCCAACAATGCCCACATGTAGCTTAGCATGCCTCTTCCCTAGGCAGCTGCCCCGGCTGCCCCAGCTCTTGTCCAGTGAAAGTGTGAACCTGCGGATTGCTGCTGGTGAAACCATCGCACTACTCTTTGAGCTTGCCCGGGACCTTGAGGTATGAGGGACAATGGGGGTTGTGGGGGGTACCTGCTTGTGCTATTGCCCATCCCAGACTGGATGCAGAACATGCCACAGATAACAGAGCAGCCTGGGGTCATTATGCAGGGAAGATGGCCTCAACATTGACTCACATGCTAGGAGCTGTGATGGGGACTCTGAACAGTGGTATTCTGTATAGGCAGAGGCCAAGGAGGGGTTGAGGGAGGTCAGACAGAAGAGGAGGATTCTCAGTGAAAGAAAGGCTTCAGGCAGCTTACATTAAGAGCCAACGCGGAGGGGGGGGGGGGGCAATGGAGCTCACAACCCCAATCTTCATCGCCCCCCCACAGGAGGACTTCATTTATGAGGACATGGAGGCACTCTGTGGTACCCTGCGCACTCTGGCCACTGACAGCAACAAGTACCGTGCTAAGGCTGACCGCCGGCGCCAACGCTCTACTTTCCGTGCTGTGCTGAACTTTGTTGAGGTGCGTGTGAGAACGAGTGTGTTCTAGCACGAGTGCATCCCCAGGCATAGCAGCCAAGCCCAGTTGTGTGGGCCCCTCTACCCTGCAGGGCAGTGAATGTGAGGAAGAGACGATCCGCTTTGGACTTGAAGTGCTCTATGTGGACAGCTGGGCTCGGCACCGGATCTATGCTGCCTTCAGGGATGTGCTGGGTTCCGGCATGCACCACCACCTTCAGGTGGGAGGCTACTCGGGGAGGGCTGCCCAGCTTGGCTACTTTGGACTGTCCTGAGTTTATTGCCTTCTTTGTCCTCAGAACAATGAGCTTCTTCGTGACATCTTTGGCCTGGGCCCGGTGCTGGTGCTGGATGCCACTGCCCTGAAGGCCTGCAAAATTTCACGCTTTGAGAAGGTTTGTGCCCCAGGCCCCTGTACTTTCCCTCTCTTCCTGTTTCCTGGGGGCCTGGAGCTCAGCAAGGGCTGCCAGAGGAGCCTGGGCTTTTCCCTTTCTGGCTCACCTTGTCACTCTCTTTGCCCTACCCCAGCACCTGTACAATGCTGCCGCCTTCAAAGCCCGGACCAAGGCTCGCAGCCGTGTAAGGGACAAGCGGGCAGACATCCTGTGAGGCAGACCAGCTGAAGAGAAGACTACCCTCATTGTTGCCCATATTTTTAACAGAAGAGAGTGCAAGAACTGGTCTCTGCCAGTGATTGTCACTTTATTTTTTTAATGGCAAAACCAAAAACAGATATAGGGTGGATGGGTGAAGGGTCAGGACTTTTGGGACCCTGGCCTTTGTCCCTGCACTCAACCCTATGGCCTCTTCCTGCCCTTTCTCAGGTGAGGCCAAATGTGTGCCTCTCCCAGGGTAGTCAGTAGGGAAGCTGTCCCTCCCTTTCCTTTTTTTAGGCCTTGTTCCCCTGGGGTAACACACTCTCTTTGGGGGACTGGCATCTGGACAAATGCCATCATAGTAGGTGTGGAAGCAAAGCAACCTGGAATGGATTTGTGCAGATTTTTAAAGATTATATAAGAGATAATTAAACAGAATTCTCAGCTTCTTGTGGCCTTGACTCTTAGGTATTTCGGCCCCCTCTCCCTCCCCATCCACCATCCCAAATTTGGGCCAGCTGGGGCTCCCTTACCTCAACTCAGAACCCAGCCTGTCCTTGAGAACTGAGGCCGGACCCCCACTGGGAGGCCTGGCAACACTACAATGGGGGCAGCTATTTCTAGACTTCTGAACCTTCTATCTAGGGGTAGCCAGAGGGTGCTGACAGGCCACAGGAGAAGCCAGGAGGCTGGTGCCCTGTCCTGACCTTGAGCCACCCAAAGCAGGTCCTTGGCATCAAAAAGCTTAGCTTTATCTAGGCCTAGCCTGAAGAGGTCAGGAGAGGGAGGCAGGCAGCTGTAGAGTCACATCAGGCTCTTATACAAAAATTTCACCAAGGAAGTAGTGTAGACCAGCACTAGGAGAGGAGAGGCCTGCCCATGGCTGCTTTATTCCCCCACATAGAACCCCAGACCATGAGTTCAAGTGGTTATCTCAGCTGGGTGTTCGGGCTTCACTGGAGTTCAGCCTCCTCAGCTGGCTGAGACTGGCTAAGCGGAGTTTGAGCAGAGTCTCCTCCTGTGTTCGAAGTGTGTGTGCTAGGACCCGCAGGGATTCACTCTGCAACACTGGAAATGTACAGGCATTTGTGGAACCTGTCAGACCACGTTGCTCCCCCAGACCTCCCCCAATCAGCCCAGCATCAGGGAGTTCCCATTGGCCCCTGACCACCCTTCATTGCTGCAGCATCTGCAGTTGCTCTTTCCAAAGAGCCACCCAATGCCTACTGCCTTGCCCTCAGTTCCCACCAGCTCTGTCCATCCCTACCACTCAGGTAGACAGCCAAGATTGCAAGTGCCAGGCAGGTGAGCACCAGCAGTGCCAGCAGTAATAGGAATCCCCCACGGCCACACACTGGGCTGCAGCCAGCCTGGGTACACAGTGATGGCGGCAAGACACCTAGCAGCTCATCCCACTGCCGTGCCTCTTCAGCCAAATAGGGACGAATGGATCCTATGGGGAGGATGAGATATTAGGAGGGCAATTTCCTCTCCTCCCCCAGTACATCCATCTCTCACCCCTGCCCCTACCTACCTCCACTGTGCAGGTCACTGATGGACTCCACTCTGTGCAGATGCACCTCCTGCACATGGTTGGGGTCCAGTGGCCCCCTGCTCCTCTGGCTGTGCATTGATGCCACAGTGTCTGCAGGGAAGTGAGTCTGATTCAGCCAGACAGGTCACTTCTTCCCTTCTCCCAGATAGCCCTCAAGAAGCAGGGACTTGGGAAGGATGGAGACAATGGGAATTTGCTCCAAATCCCCTACAACTTCAGGAATGACCTTGGTTCCGATCCAGAATAACCTCAGCTACTTACTTGTACAGTAGCAGGTACACTCAACTTGCTACCATGTATCATTCCAAGCACCTGGAGGGACTTTCAGCTACTTACCTGCCTGCTCATTTGTTTGTTTGTTTTTTGATGGTACTGGGGATTGAACCCAGAGCCTTTTGCATGTGAGGCAAGCACTTTACCAACTAAGCTATATTCCCCAGCCCCCTGCCTGCTCATTTCTAGCAAATAGTTATTCAGCCTTGCAGGACTAAGTCCACAGTACACACAGTTCAGTCCTCTTCTGTTTATCAAAGACCTGTAGACCTGTGAATTAGTCATCTGTCCAGACCTGGTGCTCTGTGCCTTCTGGGCAGCAAACAGCCCCATTCAAGACCTCATGGAAACTGGATGTGATGGTACAGGTTTGTAATCCCTGAAACTCAGGAGATTGAGGCAAGTGACTGCAAGTTCAAAGCCAGTCTCAGGGAGTCCCTGTCCGAACACATTGTGGAACCTTTTCTTCCCAGCCTTGCTTCTGTGTTCTTTAACAGACTGAGTGTGATTCTGCTGTTCTGCAAAACCTGCTGCTTTCACTCAACATCACTGAGACTCTTCTATTAAAACACTTTCTCATGTCTCTGCAGGCACGAGACTGCCTGGACATTTAGGTTATTTCTGGGATCCTTTGGAAGTTAACAGCCCCCAGACATCCATCATTGAGTATGAAAATTTCCCCCAATTTCTTGGTAGTCTTTTTTTTTTTTTTTTAACCTTCATTTTATTTATTTTTATGTGGAGCTGAGGATTGAATCCAGTGCCTTGCACATGCTAGGCAAACGCTGTGTCACTGAGCCACAACCCCATCCCTTCTTGGTAGTCTTTAATGACAATTCCCAGAAGAGAAAATTTGGATCCAAGAAGGAAAGGCTTTTTTTGGTTTGGTTTTGCTATTATTTTCCAGTACTGAGTATTGAACCCAAGGTCTCACACTGCTAGGCAAGTGCTTTAGCACTGAGTACTTGCCCCCACCCCATTTTGTTTCATTTATTTATTTTTTAATTGTAGACGGACACAGTATCTTTTTTTTTTAAGAGAGAAAATTTGTTTACTATTTATTTTATAGTTTTCAGTGGACACAACATCTTTATTTTTTATTTTTATGTGGTGTTGAGGATTGAACCCAGCGCCCCATGCACGCCAGGTGCGCACGCTACCGCTTGAGCCACTTCCCCAGCCCACAATATCTTTTTTTTTCCTTTAACATTTTTTTAAACTTTTATTTTTATTTTTTTAGTTACACATGACAGTAGAATCCATTTTGACATGTTTATGCAAACAGAGTATATCGTATTTTAATTAGGATCCCAGTCTTGTGGTTGTACTTGATGTGGAGATTCACTGTGGTGTATTCGTATATGTACATAGGAAAGTTAAGTCAGATTCATTCCACTGTCTTTCCTATTTGCTGTCTCCCCTCCCTTCCCTTCATTCTCCTTTGTCTAATCCACCGAACTTCTATTCTTCCCCTCCCCGCGTGTTGCGTGTTAGCATCCACATATCAGAGAGAACATTCAACCTTTTGGTTTTGGAGATTGGCTTATTTGGCTTAGCATAATAATCTCCAGATCTAGCCACTTTCTGGTAAAAGTCATAAAGTCATTCTCCACAATATCTTTTTTTATTTATTTTTTTTATGTGGTGCTGAGGGTCCAACCCAGTGCCTCATGCATGTGAGCCAAGTGCTCAACCACTGAGCTACAACCCTAGCCCTTTTTTTTTTTTTTTTTTTTTGATTGAACCAAGGGATGCATCCCCAGTCCTTTTTATTTTTTATTTTGAGATGGGGTCTTGCCAAGTTAACTCGGGGCCTTACTAAATTGCTGAGACTGACTTTCAACTTTCAGTCCTGCTGCCTCAGCCTCCCAAGCCTCTGAGATTATAGGCATGTGCCACCATGCCCAGCCTTTTTTTTTTTTTTTTTTTGGTTGGGAGTGGGGGGAAGGTTTCACTGTGTCACCCAGGTGGGCCTCAAACTTGCCATCTTCCTGCCTCAGCCTCCAGAGAAATCTGGTATTACAGGCATGGGCTACCATTTCTAGTAGGTATTTTGTTTCTCAGCTATCATCAAATTTCCTCCAGAAGGTGTGTCTGCAGCCCCAACATCTCCAACATTAGGCATCCCCACTGGGGGAAAAAAGTTTATATGCACACAGTTGAATAGTATTTGTAATATGAGAGATAAGCAATTACATTTATTTACTATTTCTTTTATGGGTATGGAGATCAAACCCATATCCTTAATGTACGCTAGGCAAGTGCTATATCACTAAGCTACAACCTCAGCCTTGAGAAGTTGTCTTTTTTAATTTGTTTGAAGGGTTTTCTTGCTGTTCCTCATACTCCTGGACTCTAGTGATCCTCCTGTCTCAGCCTCCCATGTACCATCAAAGTTTTTGTTTGTTGTATTGTGGTACTGGATATTGAACCCAGGGGTACTCTACTGCTGAATTACACTCCCAGTCCTTTTTATATTTTACTTTTAGACAGGGTCTAAGTTGCCCAGGCTGACCTTGAACTTGCAGTCCTCCTGTCTTAGCCTCCTGAGTCACTGAGATTACAGGTGTATGCCCTTGTGCTGGGCCATCAAAGTATTTTATGATTTCTAAATATGTAAAATATATATAGTATATATATATGGGACTGAACCCATGTACGCTCTACCACTGAGCAAAATCCCCAGCCCTATTATTTATTTATTTACTTATTGGTACTGGGGATGGAACCCAGGGGCACTTTACCACTAAGCTACATCTCCAACTCAATTTTGAGACAGTCTCACTAAGATGCCCAGGTTGGCCTCAAACTTGTAATCCTCCTGCCTCAGCCTCTGAAGTTGCAACCATGTCCAGATAATCATATTTTCTTCTGGTGTTCTTTGACTTGATTTTTTAAAATCTTGGCCCCATAATTGCTCCAGATACCCACCTAAAAGTTGGATCAGGGAAGGGGGGCTTTAGAAGGATTCTTCCTGTTAGAGATAATGGTGGCTTTGGACTCTCTGGGTCTATCACTCTCAGGTCAATAACTCAACTTTCATATTTGCTTGAAGCTATCCCTTAACATGTTCAAAAGCAAGACAAACAAAAACAGATGTTTCCAGACCTCAAGTCTGGGTGATAGTTTGAAGGTCAAGTACCCTCTTTATACTTAGTGTGCTTTTCCCTAATTTAAATTGAACACGGATTCTGTTTGTTACCAAAAAAAAAAAAAACACAGTAAATGTTATTGTTAAGATCTGCCCTCCCCCCAAAGATGAACATTTCCTCTTACCTGAGTTCAAGCCACTCCCCTGTAGTATAAAATGTTGGAAATGTGATGAGAGAGCCAGTCACCTTGACCAAGCTGGATTGTGGGCTATCGCCTAGAACCATAGTCCTGTGACATGGCCAGCCTTCAAATGCAGCTTCCTAGATTCCTGTTGCTATGGCTCCTCTGAGCCTCGGGACTTCTTTTATTAGTAAAGCAGTTAGATGAATGGCCACCAAGCTCTGGAACAGCTGAGTCAGTCTCTCCAGACTGAGGGACCTCAACCCTTAGTCAGTTGGGGAATATTTAGTCCTAAATTAGGGGAAGCCATAGGCCTATCTACTGCTCCGTCCCTAGGCAGTGCCCAAATGGGCCTACCCCCCAGTCCCAGTTTTCTCCCTGAAAGAATAGCTGCACTGGCCAGGCAGCTGTCCGGATACCCACACCCACTAAGAGTGGCCTGTAGTTGACCCCACTCCTAGTGGGTAGCTTTCCCCAATCCTTCCATGCAGGGAAAACTGAGATAGGGCCTAATGTGGGAAAGGGTTCTAAGCAAGGAAGGCTCTTCATCCATGCATGGGATAGGTCCTTTTACTAGAGCTGGGACATGAAAATTGATGACTAGTCAAACAATGAGGTCAGTGGGACAGAGGGTGAGTCTCTCCATGGTTCACAGGGTAACAGGACTGGGGCCTTGCCCTCCCTCATGATCACCCTCTCCTACCTTCTTGAGTCCCCTCAGGCATGGCAAGTGTAGTCAGGGGGCCAATGAGGGTGCCCAGTAGCAGGGCTGGACAAAGCAGCAGCAGCGGCTTCTCTGGGAGCCTGGGGAAGGCCTGGCCACTTTCCAATCTAGGCTTAAAATAGGCCTGAGCTCAGCCAGCTGGGCTATATTTAGAGGGGGCAGCTCTTAGCCATCAGAAGGGGTGGAGTGACCCACATGGGTCAGCCTAGACTATCTACCTGATGATAGAGCTCAGCCAAGAGTGTGCTTCCACTAGTACATAGGTCCAGCAGCCTTCTCAGGGAACTATATCACTTCTATATGTACACAGACCTTGGGGCCTTCATCCAGAATAGCCATCACAGGCTCAGTCTGTAGCAATGCCCCACATGGCAGCCATGACATAAAAGGAGACACTGTGCAACTCTATTCAGGCCTCACTTCTGTAGATCTTTACCCACAGCCTGGCCATCACCTTCCTGCAAACGTGAGACAAACACCCACCACTGTGTGACATGCTAGCACTAGAGATTGTGGATGTTGGACAACTGAAACCCAGTGCCATAAAGGTGCACACATAACACCTATGGTAGCCAGTGGACAGAACTGGATTGGAGATGAGAACTTCCACTACTACTCTTACAACCTTATGTAAAGGATCAACTTTCTCTGTCCTCTGTTTTCTTGATGACTGCCAGAGAAGAACAATGATTCCTCTCTGGCAGTCATCAAGAACATACATACAATCATGTATCTGAAGCACTTACTCTGGAGCACAGTTTTGGTTCTCCCTGTCCTCTCAACAGGGCCCACATGGATCATGTGAAGATCCATAGTGCTGCTTACCCTTGAAGTGGAAAGGTGACTTCCAGCCCTCCCTCTATGAGAGGATCCCTGGGCCCCTCCTATCCAACTGAGGGAAGACTATGGGTTCTACCACCCAAAACATCCCCAATTCATCATTACATGGTATCAAACTGGCCTCCATGCTGCTCCTCAAATTTGGTAATCTTGTTCTCCCTCAGGACTTTGCACTGGCTGTTTCCTCCTGTAATGCTCTGCCCCAAAATATTCCTGTTGCTGTTTTCTTCCTGACTTTCATCTCAAATGTCACCCTTTTAGTGAGGCCTTCTGCTCACATTCCTTTTCCCATCACCCAGTTGTATTTTCTTTTCTTTTTTTTTTTTTTTTTTTTTTTTTTTTTTGAGGGGTGGTGGGGGGGGGGGGGGGGATCAGGGATTAAACTCAGGGGCATTCAACTACTGAGACGCATCCCCAGCCCTATTTTTTGTATTTTATTTAGAGACAAGGTCTCACTGAGTTGTTTAGTGCCTCCCTTTTACTGAGGCTGGCTTTAACGCTCTATCCTCCTGCCTCAGCCTCTGGAGCCGCAGGCGTTACAGACATGTGCCACCTGACCCAACCCGGCACCAGTTGTTTTTTCTTCAGAGCACTTAGCTCACAGATTATATTATGCAGAATATACGATGTATGTGTGTCCCCAAAGGCCCTACAGAACTTGCTCAGTCACTTCAACAACATTATTAATCCTCACCTGGACAATCTTGGACAGAAGAAACTCAGACCTTTATGCTGCGAGAAAGATGCCCAATAACACAGAGTAAGATCTACAACTAGTGGTCATCTCTGGGGCTATTCCAGCTTTGGTTGATAATGTGTTTATTGCATTACTTTAGTACAGTCGTCCTGCCTCGCCCCGCTCCCAACAGCCCAGCCTATTCACAGCTTTCTGCTCACTGCCCAAAGGAGGGGAATCCCTCTGCCAAGGTGGGCACCCAGAACACCTTCCTGATTGTGCTCCTTGATCTGGAGCCCTGCTTCTCGGTACCTTCCCTCTGGGCTAGATCCCGCACCAGGCCTGGCCGCCCTTCCGGGGCTACATTCAAGGGTTATCCTGTTAATAAATAAGCCGGAGCGGCTGCCCTTCAACCAGGGCCTGTCGGTTGCTGTCTCCATCGGCCCGGGTACCTCTGTGCTCCCGGTCCCAACCCATCTGTCTTCCTGGGGTCTATCTGCCCCTCTTCCCGCTGTCATCTCCTGCCTGGTCCCTGGCGTGGGGACGGCCCAGTCACCAGTGTGCTGCGCTACGCGGGCCCCTCTCAGCACGAGGCTCAGAGGCATGAGTCCGCCTGTTGCGGCCCTTCCTGCGTGACTCCAGGGCCGGCGGTCGCGGCACTGGCTGCGGGCGGCACATGCGCAGGGAGTTCGCGCCTCCACCGCCACCTGGCTCCACCAGCTGTAGAAAGTCCCGGTACCAGAGTTTAGGACCCAGCGGCGCAAGAGGCGAAGCCTCTTCGACCCGCGCCAGCCTTTCAGCCTGCGCAGCACTCAGCACATGCAGCATCAGGCGACGCAGTGGCTGTGAAAAACCCTGCTCCACTGCTACACATAGGTACACGCCTGAGTCCTGGCGCCGCACGCTGCGCAGCAGCAGCCCCCGCGCGGTGCGCTCAGCGCGCTCCTCCACTAGCACCTGTTGGGAGAGGGGCAGCGTGAGGCTGCAGCTTTTGGGCCAGGAACTGAAACAAAAGGTCATTGGGAACCCAGGAGAAGCGGAAAAGGAGCACCTTCAGCTGCACGTTTGAAGGTTGGGTGAGGGGGTCTTCAGATTAAGTTCTGAACGGGGCGGGGTTCACCTGAATATGGGGGCGGGCCAGGGACCTAAATGGGCGGATCGAGGGCGGGCCCTTCTCCAGAGGATAGCTGGGTGGGTCAGGATACCGTGGGGCTTTACTCGGATACAAAGTGCAGGTAAGAGACCAAACATGACCGTGTGGGTAAGAGGTGTAGTTGGGAGGGGCCTCATTAGCTTGGAGCTTACCTATATGTGGAATATAGGCTAAGGGCCTCCTTGGGCAGAGCGGGACCTCTCCTTAGGGAGGTAGAAGGCGGGAAAGGGGCCCCCTTGCGAATAGAGGAGCGAGGCTCACCTGGGTATGGGATGCCTCCCCTGCACGCTGGAAGGTCCACTCCAGGTGAGCCTGCAGCGAGCGAGGCTCACACTCTAGAAAGGCGCTGCCGCCCTCGACGCCGAAGACCTTCCGCTCCAACAGCGCGGGACGAGACGAATCTGGAAACCAGGAGAATGTTAAACTCAGGGAGGGTAGGGTGGGGTTGAGCATTTTCAGAGGGTTGTTGGGGCAGATGGAACACTCACCCCCCGAGCATAACATGCTGGGGTCGCCATTCCTTATGTCTTGCCGCCGGAACCGTCTGAGGGGAACATTGGAACCTCCATGAGCCCTTCTTTTTCCAGCCAGGGTCAGCCAAAGACCCTTTGTTTTTCCCTCCCTGCGGCTGGATCCCGACCTGGACAAGACCCGGACCCGACCCCGATCTTGCTCACCTCTTGGCACTAGGCTGGAAGCGTGTGCAGGTGGCCCCGTCCCATGCGCAGTAGGGATCACGCGCCAAACAGCATTCAGCACAGGCGCGGCCGTGGGCAGCGCAGCGGTGCAAGGAGATCTGGGCCACTGCGCTCCGCGAAGCTATGTACAGCTGGTGCTAAAGGGTATGAGGGGCTCCGGGCTGACCAAGGTCGGCCGGTCCCGCATCTGCCTCCCATCGGTCAGAGATCCCGTCCCCCACTTGACAGATAGGAACACTGAGGTTCACTTAGGTCATATAGTCTAGCAAAGGCACAGCCTATACTCAAACACCAGCTGAGAAACTACCAAAAGGGGCAAAATGGCTGGGCCTTGGGGCATAAGCTTAGGATGTCCCATGTCCCACCCATCCTTTTGGTCACTCACCCTCTTGGAGGAGATTTGCATGCTGGTGACAGCAACAGAATCCTGAGAGGGAGGAGGGGCACCAGGATTAAGGCTTAGCGGGTGGGTAAAGGGGCTGGGCGATTGGGGTCAGTGCCTCACCTCAAATACATGCAGTTCCTCCAGGAGCAGCCCCTCAGAGCTAGGCTGGCTACCCTTGGGGACTGAGATCACCTTCAGCACTGTGCCCACATCTGCAGGAATGAGAAGGGGGTGGAGGTGGCTACTAGTTTTCCCTGATAACCAGGACTGGGGTCTTCTCCCTTAGAGGTCCCACCATCAGCATAATTGGGTCATGAGGTGAAAAGTAGATTGGGACAATCAGGGTAGCATCCAGAAAGTGGAGCCACAGGCTAGGCAAAGAGGTGGAGATGGACATGAAAAGCTTCCACTACCAGGCCAAGGAGCCTGTATGAAGTCCTGTGGGTCAGTCACTGTGGCAGGACCTGACCTGTGCCAATGAAGAGGACGTCATAGTGTCCATCAGCAGCTGCTACACGATCTGCAGCGATTTGGGTGAAGGTGTACCCAGCACCCACTTGTAGGAAGAGAGGGCGCCCCCCCATGGGCAGCACCGAGTTGTACATGAGAGGGTGGTTCCGAGCAAACTGGATGACATCATCAGGGAAGTCCTTGGTAGAGCTGAAGGTGCCAAAGGTCTTGCTGGGGCACTAGGGAGGGAGGAAAGAAGGCATAACAGGGTTATAGGCGTGGGTGTTTGGTGGGCAGCCCTCCATTCCAGAACTCTGGGAATATGGAAGAGAGAAGGGCACTTCCAAATGGAAGAGCACTGCCCTGGGGATTTGAGCCTTACCCTGGGAAGGCTAGATTGAGCTGAGTCTGAAAGGGGAGATGTGGCATTCCTCTGAAGATCCGTGTCTGATAATAATGACCTTTCCCCACCCATAACAAAAGGAAGAAACCACATTCACCAAGAAGACCCCAGGACAACTTCTGTACCCTTGAGTACCCTTGAGGCTTTGAAGTGGGTTATGGCAGGAATACCCTAGCTACATACCATGCCAGGCCGTGGGTAAGGGACACGACCCTGATAGGACACCCACTGGTGTGTGGGCCCCTCCTTATGTGCAAAAGGTCCCAGGAAGGCCCTGCGAACATCGTTCATGCTATACACACACACGGCAGAGCCCTGGAAGATGCCACTGCAGACAATGACAAGAGAAGAGTGAGGGGCCCCAGTGAGCCCAGCAGGCCTGAAAGAGAAGAGGGT